TCTTAGTGTCTCGGGCTATAAATATTACTTGGTTATTCTTGATGATTGTTCACATTATTTATAGACGTTTCCTCTGAAGTTGAAATCTGACGCTTTTCCGACACTCGCTCACTTTTTTGCCCTTGTGTCCACTCAGTTCGGCACCACCATCAAGGCAGTTCAGTGCGACAACGGTCGTGAGTTTGACAACTCCAACTCTCGCACGTTCTTCCTTACCCATGGTGTTCGCCTCCGCATGTCGTGCCCATACACTTCTGCCCAGAACAGTAAGGCCGAGCGTATCATTCGTTCCATTAACAATGTGATTCGCTCCCTACTGTTCCAGGCTTCCCTACCACCCTCATTCTGGGTCGAAGCTATGCAGACAGCCACATATCTCATTAACATCTTGCCCACCAAAACGCCGAGCTCGTCCACCCCGCGCCTTCGCCTCTTTCGCACAAATACGCCCTCCCTCGATCACCTACGCGTTTTTGGCTGCACTTGTTATCCCAACTTGTCCGCCACAGCTCCCCACAAACTTTCCCCTCGATCCACCTTGTGTCTTCCTGGGATATTTAGCTCATCATAAAGGATACCGCTGCCTTGATCTCTCTTCCAATAGAGTTATCATCTCTCGTCACGTCGTCTTTGACGAGTTAGCATTACCCTATCTTTGGCGTGCCTCCACTCCATCCCCGCAGACTTTGATTTTTGGACATTCGACTATGTGCTGCTGGCTCCCATCGGACCAAAGACATAAGTTTCTCTCTGCAGTCTTCGGTATTTCGACAATCGCCTGAAATGACGTCGCGGGTCATGCGGCCGACACCGATGATGACTGGTTGGTTGGTTGGCAACGCTTGATGCGCTCCCACCGGTCCACCATTTGCACTGCACCCTCGCCAAGCCTGACCACGCGTGCGGCCACGATGTCACCATCGCCGCACTGCGGCCCGCGTCGCGCACCGACTTCTTCGACCTCGCCGTCACTGCTGCAGCTTTGGCGAGCCACGCGGACCTTCGCCCGGTTTCCCGCCGGCCGTCCATCTTCCGGTGCCGCGGCAATCCGTCACGTCTACAGCGCCAGGGACCGCCGCCTACTCGCCTCTGCCGCCGCAGGAGAGCCCGGTGTTCTTTGCCCTGCGCCACGCTTAAGGTGCTATTGTTGTCCCCCCGCTGACCAACCAAAGACCCCATGGCCATGGCCACAAAAGTCCGGTTTCCGATTCTGCTCTCTCTATCATGCTACGCCACTGTCTCCGATGTCCAAGACCTTCCGCAGCGACTCGCCGATCCAAATTGGCGTCTTTGCTATGGAGGAAGAACATCTTTGCTCTTCTCCGAACCACACATGGGATCTTGTCCCCGCCCCCTCGGGCTAATGTGGTCACCGGAAGTGGATTTTCAAGCACAAGTTCAACGCCGACGGGTCACTTGAGCGGGTACAAGGCACGCTGGGTCCTTCCAGCTTCACTCAAATGGCTGGCGTGGATTTTTCAGAGACTTTCAGTCCAGTTGTGAAGCCTGCCACAGTTCGCACCGTGCTTTCTCTGGCCCTTTCTCACCAGTGGCCCGTGCACCAGCTCAATGTGAAGAATGCCTTCCTACATGGCACCTTGTCAGAGACAGTGTATTGTGTACAGCCGTCTGGTTTTGAGGATCCCACCCACCCGGACTTCGTGTGTCAGCTCAACAAGTCCTTGTATGGGTTGAAGCAGGCTCCTCGCGCTTGGTACAGTCGATTCGCCACTTTTCTGTTGTCTCTCGGGTTTGTCGAAGCCAAGTCAGACACCCCGCTCTTCATCTACAAGCGCGGCTCAGATATTGCCTATCTCCTATATGTGGATGACATCGTCCTCATAGCCTCCTCCCCGGGTCTCCTTCGGCGGATCATTTCGGCCCTCCAACAGGAGTTCTCAATGAAGGATCTTGGCAAACTTCATCACTTTCTCGGTATGCATGTTCAGCAGTGTGGTGACGGTCTCTTCCTTTCGCAATGACGATACATCTTTGGATATCTTGGACCGTCTTTGGGATGGTGAGTGTAAGCCATGTTCTACTCCAATCGACACAAACCCCAAGGTTGCAGCATGCTTGATGGTCCTCTTGTGGTGATGAAACAGATTATCGAAGTCTTCTTTGGCGCATTCTGATCTCGACCTTCACACGGCTCGACATCGCTTATGCTTTTGTTCAAAGAAGTCCGCCTTCACATGCATGACCCACGGAACCACACTTGGCGACACTCAAGCGCATCCTTCGCTATGTTCGGGCACTCTCCACTTGGGTCTCTTCTTTGCGGCCATCTCCCCGCCATCGATCTTGTGGTCTACATCGACGCCGATTGGGCTGGTTGCCCGGACACAGCATAAGTCCACCTCGAACTCTGTTGTGTTCCTCGGTGATAATCTCGTCTCCTGGTCCTCCAAGCGTCAGAATACAGCCTCCAGATCCAGTGCTGAAGCTAAGTACCGCGCAGTGGCCAACGGTGTTGTTGAGTCCTCTTGGCTGCGTCAGCTCTTGCTCGAGCTCCATGCCCCTCTTCGGCGCGCTACTTTGGTCTATTGTGACAACATTAGCGCCGTCTACATGTCTTCCAACCCGTTCAGCATCAGCGCACCAAGCACATCGAGATTGACCTCCATTTCGTTCGGGAGAAGGCTGCTGCTGGTAATGTTCATGTCCTGCATGTGCCAACTTCATCCCAATATGCGGACATCTTCACCAAAGGTCTTCCATCTTCGGTCTTCACAGAGTTCAGGTCCAGCCTGAACGTGCGCGGTGGCGATGATCAGACTGCGGGAGCGTGTTAGACTGCCATATTATGGGCTGTATCTTGGGTCATTAGCATTGCTATATGGGTTGTAACGCCCTGGGCTTGGGCTTGGGCTGAGTGCGCCTGTAGGCGCCCCTTGGGGTTTTATGGTAGATGATCTTGGTTTAGGTAAGGATCACCGTTGATTGAGTGTTTCTATAAACTCTTGACAATCCTTGCCTATATATATTGTATTCATTTGGTACCTCCATCATCAATCTACTGAGTTTTCCCGAGCCACCTCTTCTCTCGAGCTTGTAATCGACGATGATTATCTGAACACAACCAGCACCAGAATCTAATCAATAAACCGAGTTACAGTGACAGGATTGTTGATGGCATACAACTACTATTTTTGTGCTTTGCAACATACATATAGAAAATAGGAACAGCCATGCAAAATGGCAACAAGCACCAGGCAACGTTCAGCTAGCAACAGGCCAATTACTGGATAAAAACCAACAGGCCGGAGTGGACAACCTGCATACCAGGCAAAGGTTCAGCTAGCAAGAGGCCAATTAGTGGATAAAAACCAACAGATTGGAGTGGACAACCAGCAAACCTATGTTCAACATTGTTGTGCAGTGTACTCACTACTTCAGAAAAGGCATCTCATGAACCCCGAATTCCAGATAAAAATGCATGTTTGGTTTCAGGACAGTGCATCGCTGCATCTGTCTATTCTCGGCATTGCTCCAAGGGTAATATGTGCCACTGAAATGAAATAATAATTCAAGAGAGTTCTTGGGTGTGGGTATAAATGCTAAATTATGTATTATATTCTGGTGCAAGCGGTAGAGTCTTACCGCCTGTGACCAGAAGGTCCTGGGTTCGAGTCGCGGTCTCCTCACATTGCACAGGCGAGGGTAAGGCTTGCCACTGACACCCTTCCCCAGACCCCGCACAGAGCGGGAGCTCTCTGCACTGGGTACGCCCTTTTATTCCACAGGGCCCAGGATCTGTATATGCCACTTATGTAAAGTGTGCTTAATTGGCTGGAAACCATGCAGCCATCTCAAGTAAAGACTCGTCTTTGGTGGTAAAGGCTAACTCCATCGGGAGCTTCTACTTCTTTCACATTGGTTGATGGTCAGTCAAGGAAGGGGTAACTCATCCCTAGGCTATTGTTGCCATTGCTCTGCAGCCAGAGCCAATAGGCCAATCGAACAGAGTAACAACCATGCTTCTCAAAAGCCCAAGCTGTGAAGTTATGAAAAATATTAAAATATATTTGGAAAATATCATAAGAAGTAAACTTTCCACAGAAAGAACATGATTCCTAGACTTCAGACATAGCGTACTTTCTACAAATGCAGAATAATATCATTGCCTTTTCATACAATTTGATTTATGGGCACCATAGCAAACCTAATCGCTTTCTACCAAACAATAATTTGTTCGAGGGATTTCAAAACAGAGCGGTGGCATGGTGGCCTGGAGTGTCTTGCCTCTTAAGCCAGGTGGTGGCTTCAGTCAGAGTGCAGTGTCTTACAGCGAGGCGGCTCATACATCAGTCTAGAGAAGGACCCAAACTCCCTATGAGCCTCACAGGAGAGGATATTTCTTAGATACAAGATGGATTAAATGAGGTTTTGTTCTCTTTGACGAGGATGAAAAGGCAGGGAAGGTGGTCCATTAAGCACCAATCAACTTATTAATGGCATGACATTGACTGCAGGTGTGGAACACAGTCATTTGATTGCTTTCATGAATTGCTGTGATCTTTCAGTTCTGTCAAACTCATAGCTTTACAAGTGCTACATATGGTGAAAAAGATTCTACAGGAAAACAATCTAGAAATAACAGCATGGTTGAATGTATTGTAGAAACAAATGGAGAAAACCTTTCTAAACATGAAACTTGGAAAGCAGGGAAAAATTCAGTGTGATGGTATAGCTCAAGTAACCTGAAGTTAAAACTGTTAATGTAACACTTTAAACAAAAGGAGCATTTTTTAAATGCAGATTAATATCTTATCTGATTATTTGCATAAGGCAAGGGCTAACCTGTATCGATTACACCCTCAGCTGTTGTCCATGGATTTAACTGACACTTTTCAGGTTACTGTTTTCCATTCCTTGTCCATAGAATGGCAGTGTGGAAGTGGAGGAAACAAATGGAGCCAACAGTGTCCTGCACTAGGCGAGCTCAGAGCCATCATAGCGAAGTCCCTTCATCAAGTTAATAAATCTATATGTGAAAATTATGTTACACCATTCGCTTTCTGAGAATCATCACAATCACCCCTGTCATTGCCAATGCCCAAAATGCAACGCAGCTTGACATCTGGAGAAATGCCTGCATGACGCATACTCTCATACATCATACAAGCTTCCTTCTCATCCCCCGTTTTAAGGTATCCAATAATGAGAGCTGTGTAGGTTACTACAGTAGGTTTAAGCTTTCTTTTTCCCATTTCTTCCATCATCAAGCGTGCACCATCCATTGCAAGCACTTTACTATAACCATCAATCATACAAGTATATACAAAAGCATCTGGGAACACACCACTTCTTTCCATTTGTCTGAGCCATTCATTAGCAGCCTTCATATTTAAACGCCTACAATAGCAAGCAATGATAGATGTGTACAAAACATTGTCAAGTAACAGGTCTTCCCCAATCATATCCCTAATCAATCCCATAGCTTCAGGAAGTCTATCATCATTACACAGCCCATTTATGAGGCTAGAATATGTAAATGTGTTAGGTTTTACGCCTTCATCCAACATCTTACGGTACAACCTTAAGGCCTCCTGCAACTTCAGAGCTTTCACGAAGCCATCAATAATAATACTGCAAAGGACAACATCAGGAACATAGCCCCTCTTTATCATGTCTGCTAAAAATTTCCACACATCACTATATTTGTTGGTCTTGCAAAGGCCATTGATAATAACTCTGTACATGCAAAGGTTTGGGACGATTCCCAATGACCGATGTATTCTATCCAGGAATAGGAAGGCTTCACCAACTAGCCCTTCTTTGCTAAAGCTGTCAACTAGGATTGTGCATGTCACAATGTTGGGACTCAACCCATTTTCAAGCATGAGCTCAAACACTCCCAATGCATCTTGAAGGTTTCTATGTCTACATAATGCGTAAATCAGACTGGTATAATTGTAAACATCTGGAGTGATATCATGATGAATCATGTCAAACCAAAGGTCAGAGATGGCCTTGAGATCTAAATGTTGGCAACAGCCATGAAGAATGATGCTGTAATTTATCTGGTCATGCTCAAAACCATGGTCTTGGAGGTTCTTGAAAATCTTTAATGCCAATGCAACCTGTCCAGTTTTGCAAAGGCCATGCAGAAGTGAACTGTAACTCACTTGATTAGGACATATTCCATTTCTTGCCATTTCATCAAGCATGTCATAACCTTTCAATAAATCCCCATGTTTGCAAAACCCATCAACTAATATGCTGTAGCTGTGGACATCTGGGACAAACCCACATTTCTTCATCCCATGAAACACTTCTATGGCTTTATCAACCTGACCCTTGCTACAGAAACCATGAATCACAGCATTGAAACAATAATTGCTGCAAGGGCCTCCACTCTGAGCAAGAGTTTGAAGAAAGTCCCATGCAGATGTTACCTGTCTGGAACGGCAAAGCCCATAGAGGTAAGTTCCATATGTTGTAGTGTTCGGTCTCACACCATTCGATTCCATTTCACAAAGAAGGTCAAAAGCTTCATTTAAGCATAACCTCTCTCCATGTGTGTACATACTCATCAAAATTGAATAAGAGCAGACATTGGGTGAAGGACCACAACTTTTCATGTCATCAAATAAACTCCTCGCATACATGATCTGATTCCCCTCGACTAAACACTTCAGCAAGAAATTGCACAAACGTCTGTCAACACCAACATTCTTGGCCTCAACATAAGTGAGAAGAGCATCCTCAAACATCGACGACTCTACAAAAATACGGATGACTGCAGCATAAACTTGTAACAGCGTCATTGACTGACCCAAATTGCTGACCAACATATGAGCCAACTCAAACAACTCTGACCCAGCATTTCCACAGTAATCAACAATGCTCTGAATCAAGCGCCGGACCTCTCTGATTCTCCGCGGCAAGAACGCCTGCACAATCAAAGCAAACAAACCAACTGACTGAGATGGCCCGTATAACCTCACACACTCCCTGAAGCTTATATTTCTGGCAGCATCCCAGTTCGAAGCCCGCACTGCTAGTGTGATCAAGGGAAGCAGACGACGACTTCTATAGTCACCATAAGCAGAACTCTGACTGGGCTCTTCGTTATCAGAGCTATTCAACCAACAAGCCTGAGAGGAAAGGCGCGACACTGGGGGATAGCTCCTGATGACAAGGGCTCGGCGCAGAAACAATGGGACCACCCGGCGCATAGACAAGGGATGCTGATCCCCTCCTTACATTGACAGTACCAGCAGAAGCAGGGATGAGCTGTGCACGAACTACACTTCATGGACCAATAATACTTGACAAGTCGACGAAAAGGACCGCTGAGGCAACATCAAGTCCGGTAACCCCGGCGGCCGCAAAGGAATCGATGGCGCCGCGGCTTGGCTCGAACTGGAGGCTGGTGGCCTCAGTGGTCTCCGGGCCGCCGCCCCGCGCCCCGGGCAGCTTCAGTGGTCAGCTGCACGGCCCCGGTCCCCTGCTCCTCGCCCGCCGCGGCAGGCAGCGAGAGATGGAGGCGAAGACGCAAGAGGCGGAGCGAGGTGAGGCGGACTTGGCGCGGGCGAACTTCCGCTCTGGATGCCCTTCAGCCACGATGTGCACGGAAGGGGACTAGAGGGGAGGACGGCGTGGAACTACGGTGGCGGCGGCGCGGGTGAATAGCGCCGCTGCTATGGCCTGCTTGGGAACTTGTTTTTTTTTTAGGAAAAGAAGTGAGCCGGTGAGAATGAGAAGTGGGATGAGTCTCTGCCGCGGGCACGATCCGTTCGGAGGAGGAGAGCAGGAAGGACCGGGCCACGAGCAACATTGCCAAATTGCGAGCCCAAAAGGCCCAAGTGACCAAACAGAGAAATAGCAAGGGCACGCGCTGCGCTGTTCTTCAGTTTAGTCCCAACTCGGCGGCTTTGAGCGCCTTTTGGCTAAAGAAGAAGATCGAGTGTTTATCAGTTTAATATTAATATCTGACATGTGGGCCATGTGCTCATTTCGATATATTTTTTTGTGGGGAGGCTTCAGCACAGTGGCTTGCCACTGGGGCCCTCCCGTGTCGCTCGGGCGTTGCACTACGGACCGAGCTTGGCGCACCCTAACCAATTCTCAATTAAAGCTTTTGTTAGGCCTTGTTGTGCTATAAAGCTCTAGTGGCCTTAATAGATTTGAAGCTTAGATGGGCTTTGAATATAGCAGGGCCCTAATTTAGTTTATAGTCTTGGGCACCATATTTGGGCCCTATGGTCCTGTTGATAACGAAATAAAACATACTTTTGGGCCCTGTGACCGTGCTGTATTTACCAAAAGAAAATAAAACATTAACTCCGAATTTGCATGATTACTAGCCCAACTTTGAAGGCCATCCTTAGCTCCAAATTTGTATGATTATTACAGGTTACAGTTTGGGTGAAGTTTTTTCGTTCTTCTCTGACGCAGCATGTTTCTACTTACTCATGCAAAATCAGCCTTAGCTTCAGCTTTGAAAACCCAAGCTTAGCTCCAAATTTGTACGATTACAGTTACACTTTGGGAGAAGTTTTTTCTTTCTTCTCTAAACGCAGCATGTTTCTACCTATGCAAAATCAGCTAAATATCCTAGGCAAATAATAGCCTTGAGATTATATATCCAAGAAACGAGCAACACCGCAAACGAGCGTACAGACAGCTGCCACTCTGTATCTACGACATCTCTGGAGAAGCTTTTCTTCTTTCTTGCTGACGCAAAGCGTTTCTTGCTCTCGTACCCGTATCGTCAACCTCTCGTCGCTGGTGCTACACTGCTACACCCGCTTGCCTCCATCGCCGGCGGCTTTCGCGTACACGCCGGAGTCGGTTCTCAGAATGATGGTGGTGGCGTCCTTGGACACGGAGATGGCCCAGTTGTCCACGTACGACAGCGGGCCGGGCCGGATCAGCGGCCGCGTGTCCTCCACGTCGCGGTCCTCGTCCTCGCCCTCCTCCTCCTCGTCTTCCAGGTAGGCGTACCTCGTCGAGCTCTGCGAGGGCGCCCACATGAGGCAGACGGCGCACAGCAGCGAGAAGGAGATGAGCTGCCACACCGCCGGGATCACCCACGCCGCGCGCCACCGCTCGTTGTACTCGTCCGTCGACTTGAAGTGGATCTGCAAGCGAAGTGCATAGCAATTTGTAGATGGTCAGGCAGGATGTTTGGTGACCGCAAGTTTTGTCGCTGTCCAGGAAAGACGGAGTGCAGGGTAATGTACAAGAGTTCTTTCTTTCAGTTGCACATCATTCACATTCAGGCTTGTTAAGAAATCTCAAGGGCTTTTGTACTGAATAAGATGGGCATTCTGGAGGTACGGGACCAACCTGTTACCCTGAGTGCAGGGTATCGTCTGATCACTATCCTAGACTAGACCATAAGCATCAGGATTGTATCAGCCACAAAAGATGGTTCTTTCCCTATCCATCATGCACCCCAAAAAATATTGACCAGCACATTGGCCGCAACAGGTTGATCGATAAAAGTCACAAGAAGAGGATGCTTTCGCTATCGATCTTGGACTGAACATGGGCTAAGATCCAAAGAAAAAGTAGCAATGTAGATTGTTCAATAGGATGGGTCAGGCTAAGGCTGTGCAATGCTCAACTCAAATTGGGACGTGTTCACTAAGATCAGATGCTGAAAGGTACAATTCTGGAGCAGCGAGAGACTGGACAGCAAGAGTAGTTGAATGAATTCAGGCTCCTGCTTACACAAAAAAAAGATGGGGTTGTTTTGTTTGGTACTAGAGTTTACCTCAAATGTGATCCAGCCGAGTGACACGGCCACCGCGATGATCAAGGCGTTGTTCAACCTCCGGTACATCTCCAGCTTCGCCGTCATTCGTTTCGCCTGCAAATGTTGAAAAGTTCCTGTGTTTATGATGTTAAAGAATTCTGGAAAAAAAAAACTGAAATGGTCAGCCGGAACAGTGTTGCTCCTCACCTTAAGTTTGTTCAGCGTCTTCGACAGTGAGCTGAATATCCAGTACACGAACACCGCGTTGAGGGCCGCCACAGGGAGCAGCAGGAACAGCCTCCTCGTGGGCGACGGCGAGTGGTCGCTCACGGTGCCGACATTCTCGCTGACCTCGAGCGCCTCCGCAGCGGCGAAGAACGCGGCGCCGAGTCCGGCCACCCTGGCGCTCTTGAGCCCCGCCAGCGTTGGCCGCACCACCATGTGGCCCATGGCCACGGCCAGCACCAGCACGCGCGCCGCCGCGCCGCGGAGAGCGCCGGACGTGGCCGCCCAGAACGTGGCGCCGCGGGGGCGGACGCCGGACTCGTTGAACTCGGCGAGGTCGAAGTACCAGGTGGCGGCCTCCAGCATCCCCAGCGCGATCACCAGCGTGGCGCAGCTCTGGAGCGGCACCACCTCCCGCCAGAACCGCGCGCACTGCGCGAACCAGTACGCCGCCAGCGCCGCGAACGCCAGCGACATGGCGCCGTAGAAGGGCAGAAGCGGCGCCATCCGCCCCGGGAGGTATCCGCGGCTGTTCTTCCAGATGGTCTTGCCCCGCGCGGCCACCTGCCCGCCGGCGAGCGAGGCGTCGCAGTGGACGAACAGGAGGGTGTACATGCCGGTGCGCGCCATGGCGACGGTCTCGTCCGGGAACGCCGCCTCGAGGCTGCCCGGGAGGAAGGAGGCCGCGAACACCCTGGGCCAGCCGGTGCCGTTCAGCGCGCGGTACGTCGCCGTCCCCTCGGTGCACGCCCCGAGCCTCGCCATGTCCGGCGTGCAGCAGAGCGCGCGACCGCCGGAGACGGAGACGTCCGCGCCCCCGACGGCGTCGCGGTCGCCGGCCTCGAAGATGACAGCCGTGACCGTGGCCGTGCGGTTGCCGTCCTCCTCGGCCGCAGCGGCCGACTCGGGCGTCCTTCTGAACGCGACCTTCTCGAAGCTGCGCGCGCCGACCAAGAAACAAACACACCGCGTCAGCGTCGCAGCCACATCCCCTCGATGAAAGCAATGAAGCGATGAATTGATCCTCTGACGCGGTTTCATACGTACGTACCGGATGAACGCGGCGGCCTTAGCGGAGGCGTACACGCCCTCGCTGCCGCCGTGGAGGACGAAGGCGTTGCCGTCGGCCGCGAACCGTTCGCCGGAGCAGTCGTGCACCGACGCGTCGGCGCAGAGGAGGGCGGACGACGTGAACAGCAAGACCACGGCCACCAGGAGGCGGGCGAGGCTCGAGGAGGCCATTGGCATCATACGACGGGAGAGCGGTGGGCTTCCTGCCTTCCTGCGCGTGCTCGTGGTGCACTGGCACTTGACTGGAGCATCCGCGTTGAGTCGAGCAGGATATAGAAATAGAAATACGGGAGGAGAAGCGGGATTGGGATCCCAAGGAGAAGAGGAGTGGAGTCGAGTGGAACAAGAACGGAAGCGGAGACTTTGACGTGGAGAAGGAACGAATTGTTAGGTCCACGCCCAAGCCGTTGCCATTGGCCATTGCCACATCCCAGGGGAACAGAGGAACGCAACAAGGGAACAGTGGCCACGAATACTCGCCAGGATGATGAAAATCAGGCAGAAATGTGTTGATGATGAGAAAACAAAAGCAAATAGGACAAGCGAGATTAGCCCATTCTGACCGGCAAGCGAGGTTTTGCCTTGAGAGTATCTATCCTTCATTTTCACTACTTCGTCAGGCACTATGGGTTTTGTTTACGGAGTTTTTTTTTTCCTCGGATACGCAAAAGATTTACACATCATTATATTATGACCAAAAAATTGGTTGTTTTTTTACATCGATGCGTCGATTGGGCGCACTAGGCGGGACAAGTGGTTTACAATGAGCTCATCCCCGCCTTGCGGACTAAGTACATGGTGACTATTCATACAAGAGACAACCTAACCATGGGTTTTGTTTATGGAGTAAATTATTAGGTTCCACGAATGAATCTTCCAAGATCGTGCAAAGAAATTATTTAGAGAGTGTTAGAGTAAATGCACAAATAAATTGAATATCTAAGATATGCATACCTCATACTAGTAGGAATAGGATTGCCAATAGAGATATGGGAGAAAGATATCTATCCCATTCATTTCACGCGTAATAATCACAAAAGGAAACTAATAAATGACGAGGCCACCAGCCGGTCATATTTGTTTTGAATAACTAGATGGTACCCCGCGCGTTGCTGCGGGAACTCTAACCTATCACTTATGAAATAGCCTATACATTTCGAGAGCACGTATGGTTTTATATACTAATAACCCAAAGTAATTGATGAAATTCATGTAATATCATGTTAAAAAGTAGAGTTATTAGTGCAGGATTTAAATAGTAAATAAAGTAAAACCAATGTTGTGCATATATGCAGAGTGAACTGTGAAGTTACCATGCATTTGTATGGGAAACTAACAATTAGATTTAAGCATAGGAATGATGCGTACAGGAAGATAATAACTAACCAAAGCAGTGCATCCTGAATTCCTGATTCGTTGACCGCAAGTTTCTCGCGACTCATTCGCCTCGCAGCCCCGTTCCTCTCTCTTTCCGTCCTCTTCAACACAATGTCTCTTTTTAAAAAAAACATAATCTCTCCGCGTGGTTTATCCATGTGCTCCTCACTTCCCTCTCCTTGGGCGCCGCTCCCGTATCGCGACGCCTCGCCGCTGTGCTTCGTTCCCCTGGCGCCGGTGCTACTGACGGTAGCAGCGCTGCCCTTCCCTGCAGTCGCGCTGGAGGCCAGGACGCCGGTGCCACGGCGTTGGTGCTGCTCATTCAGGACCTCTAAAACGTAGATCAGGGGATAATCTCGACTTAGACGGGAAACTTGGTGGTGTACCTTGCCCTAGGGCAGTTGCGGTCATGGCGTCGCAGCGACGTGGCTGCCGGTGTCGTAGTAGCGTAGGCGCGGCGGAGTCCAGAGGACGGTGATGCTTCTAGCGGTGCTTCCTGTCACTGCAGCACGCCCGCGATCGGATGGACCCTTCTAGGGTTTCTTTGGTGGGTTACTGGCGGCGTCGAACCTCGTGTCTAGCGCCCCGGCCCCCACCTCCTTCTTATAGCGCTGTGTGACAGGGGGCCGCCGATTAGTGGTCGGTTGTGTGTCCCCGGTCAGGACACGGTCAAGGGGTCCGACTCAGTCGTCGGACTGAGTCGGATGAGATCAATCCTAACATTCTCCTCCTTGATCTAACCTTATGACTTAAACTTAACTTACTTACTTTATCTTGTTCCTATTCCATCACAGATCAATGCATAAAGCGTGCCTCATCGTCACGGTCTGTTGCTATTAGATTAAACAGCTACAACGCACCTCTCTGTTTTGAAACAGATACTCAACTAGACTCTTAGTATCCAGAAATCATAGGCTTTCACATAAACCTATGTCGACTGTGTGTTCTCTGAATGCACTGGGTAGTTAGCCTTTGGTAAGCGGATCCGCAAGTACTTACTCGGTACTTATGTGCTCAATGCTTTCAAAATGATTCTGGATTTTCTCCTTTACAACATATACCTTAGTGTCAATGTGTTTGGCAGCACACTTGACTTGTTGTCTTAGGAGTTAACTTACTTTAAATGGTTATTGCTATTGCCTACCATTGTTAAATCCGGGTACAAATTTCTTTAACCTCCTTTTGCCTGATCCTTAAGCCTCATGACAAGCTATACTATGGTATGCATCACTGATGACACCATAAATGTTTCTTTAGAGCTTGTCCACAATAATACTCTAACTGCGAGTGTTAGCAACTGTTGTGGATTTCACTACACATCTCGCCAAAACTTAACATTTGTACCCACAACTATTTGAGAGTACTTGCCCTTTCTTACTCAGCATGAGGCCTATGATACTTTGCAAAATTGTAAGACATTTTCAACTCCATTCTAGTGATCTATATTTGGACTGGACTTCTGCCAAAATATCCCGGATACATAAACTACGTCAGGGTAAGTTTTTACTTGTACTTGTACACTCATCAAGCTTCCAACAGCTGAAGCATATGGAACCATGTTCATTTGATCGATCTCATATCGGTTCCTAGAACACTTAAAGTTCCCATAACTATTACCCTTGACTATAGGAGCAGGCGTAGGTTTACTCGCATCAATACTTTATTTCTTCAGAATCTTTTCTAAGTATGCCTTTGCGATAGTCCTAATACCCCATTTTTTCTATCTTGGTGAATTTCGATTCCTAGAACCAATGACGCTTCACCAAGATCATTCACATTGAAACTTAAGGACAACTTCTTCTCCAATGACATATTAACATCACTATTAGTGAGTAGAATGTCATCTATTCACAGGATATGGAAAAAGAATTTTTCATTCTTGAACTTCGCATAAACGCTATTGTCCTTCTCATTTTCTTTAAAACCCAAACTTTCTTATCATTGTTTTCATCAACTTCATTACTAATGTCTAGAGACATACATTTAACCCATAAATGGATTTCTACAGGCGGCATCCCATATGTTATTTTCTTCCACGACAAAACCTTTTGGGTTGTGCCACATAATCGTTTCATATAAATCCCCGTTGAGGAATGCCGTCTTTACATCCATCTGATGTAACTCTAAATCGTAATGTGTCATTAACAGCATTATAATTCTAAAAGAATCCTTACATAAGATTAGAGAGAAAACTCTTATTATAATATATTCTTTCTCTTTGCTTAAAGCATATTGCAACAAGTCATGCTTTATATCTTTCTACATTCCCTTTGGAGTCATATTTTATCTTGGAGACCCATTAACAGCCTACTGTTTTGGCTCCATTAGGAATTACTTCTAAGTCCCAAACATCGTTGGTATTCTTTGAATTCATTTCAACTTTATATCTTTCTAGCCATTTAAACGAGTAAACGCTTCTCATGGCTTCTTCAAATGAGGTGGGATCGCCCTTTATTTGAATTTCTTTATTAACATAGAATTCATAGTCGTCAGAAAACTGGTTTACTAATTCTTTGAGATCTTCTGGGGCCTCAACTACTGGCACTTTCATATGGGGCTGTTGTTGCCCTTCATTGCCAAGAGACAATAGATTCTACAGGCTCCTGTATAACAAGATCCTTGTTTACATTATTCATCTTCTTCGAAGATCCAACAACAGGTGTTGTATTAGTCATACAACATCAACAGGTATTAAGAAACTTGTTGCTCCTGAGTTATTGGAGTGGGCACGTAGTCCCTCTTCTCATCAAGTCTTAGGTCTCTACATACCTCTACATACCATGCTCCCCCAGATCTTCCCATCTTTTATAAAGATAGTATATCTTTAAATTTCTTATTTTGGGTTTAATCCGTTAAAACATCATATGGCATTTTAAGCACCACCTTAACATCTTGGAGGCTGACTACGCTATCTTCCTGTTATAACTTTAAAAGGTCTAGTAATTTAGCTATTTCTCTGTTTAGGGGTATCAACGTTGTGACAGTTGTACTCCTCCAACGGTCGCATTTATCTTAATTAATCTTTATCTCACTCTTAATGAAGAGTATTTTTCTTAATTGATCTTTATATTCTCCCCCTCGAAATATGGCATGAACTTTACTGCCATAATTTCGATAACTATTCAGAAAGCATGTAAACGAGGAGACACTTTTAACTTACTTCATTCATATGATTGTGTCATGTAAACAAAGTTATTTCTTGATCCGTTTAGGAGTACACTTTCCTTAATTCACTTTAAGAACCCAACGAGGTCTTTCATTAGCGATATTTTTGCAAGTCACACTTGCATCTTTTCTTATCTTTTGGTTAGTATTGACCATGACTATGCATTTCTATTGTGTCAAGGTCAATACTAGGACAACATAAAAGCTACCCTAACTTCTCTCGCTATGCGGGATACAAAACATGTGAATCATCATAAAACTTCTCCCGCTATGCTGGATGGACTAGCATAATTACTTTGCAAAAACATCTCCCCATGCGGGATACATCTATACGAAAACTTAGTTATGATAACTAAAACATTCACTTATACTTCATTTTCCAATTAAATTTTCCCGTTGGTTTCAATTTAATCAGAAAATTAGTAAACTAGCAAAAACTGTCCTAAACTGGCTTGACTCAAGCCTTTTCATTCACATACCCCAGCATTGCAGCCCCTTGGCATGCAGCCGAGTGATCTCATCGGTTAAAAAATAAAACATAAAATATGCTTCTGCATCAATTCTACATCACCGTTGGGCATAAAATAGAATTAATGCATAAAACTCATAAATTAACTTGAAAGACATACAACTACTTT